ACGATAAATTTCAGTGAGCTCCCGATAAACTCCAAAGCGATGCCCAGATCCACCACATGTAGCCAATCTAGCTGGATCATGGCTAGATTGAAGAAAGGACATCCAAGCAGAGGCGACTTCTCTTGGAGCGAGCACAGAGCCGACCAGTGAGTGTGCCGGTTTTCGGGTCTTAGCCAAGAAGCGGTCATCCCGACCTCGGCAACACGATCGGGTGTCATGTTGCAGAACCAGCAGCAACCATGGTTCTCGTTCCTGGGCTGCAGAGCTCAAGATCTGCATGGAAAGGACCTACAAAGGGTCCTATATTTGTGCATGCATGTATAAAAAATGTATATGTCTATGCATGCTATATAGTATACATATACAGGACCTCCAGGGAGTCCTAGGGTCCATAAAGGACCCTGAAATTATTCGATCGAGGAGGGATCGAGTGCAAATAACCCTCCTGTAATTTAACCCTTATTTTGCAGCTGTAGTCACCATGCCGGCAGGTATAGCACCTGCTTGAAAAAAGCCCAATCACCTCGAACTTGGCCTAAGACAGCTCGAGGGCATGCGGATCCTTGCTTCCCGGCTCGATAGCCGTCTGAAGCATGCCAGGGCGAGCCATCGTGTCGACATCTCGGAAACACACCTGCTGCGGCGAAACGAAAACTCCAGGAGATCACCTCTAGGATAAGATTCCATGTCTGGTTCTTCACCATCAGGTGTTTCTGGAGGATGCACAGCGGGAACCTAGTATCAGATCTTGTTTCACAACTGAGGATATTCATCGAGAGAACCTCTGCAACTTGGCTCCTGTCCCTGTTCAAAGGGGTGCCATCCCCCCAAATGCCGACAAGCATGAGGTCTTCGCTGCCTACCTGAAGCGAGGAGGCAGCGACATCCAGGAACTGTCGTTCCTGCTCTTGCAAAACCTCCAGTTTCCGGAGATTGGAAGGATTCCTTGCTTTGGCGTCTAAGCAATAGAGGATCTCATGAGGGAGCCACATGACGATGTCTCCCTGTTCCTCTTTCTGCTCCTTGTGGTTCCACAAGGGTGCTTGCACAATATACTGACCAGGCCAGTGGCGATTCCGATTCATCTTTCGCAAGACATCCCTGTGTCGAGCTAGATCGTCCGCCCTCCGGGAGCCCAGTGTTGCAAGGCGATCCATGTGTGCACTGCCACTGGCTTCGGCATCCCGAAACAAACGGCCAGCCTCTGCAGCAGGAACTGCATTGGTCAGGAACAAATTCCCCAACCTTCTTGCTAATCTTCTTGGGGGCTCCACATTGCTCAAGTCTATCTGAGCCCTCTTGTTGGAATTCATGGCAAACAGCTAGCTCGAACCGCCTCGAGCCGTATAGCTATAGCTATACATACACCTGCAGATGTGCAAAACAATTGCAACGATCCATGCAAAGCACGTGCAGGCAAGCCACAAAAAGACTGGCAGTCGAGAAGCTGTTTTGAGGCTCCTTGCAAAAACCATGCAATTCGGGCACAGGAGGATCATCGATCCTCCTCGGCCTGGCCCGGGATTTGCTCGATCAGGACAGAATGGCCTTAGCCTTCTTTAGAATCTTGCCAGCAGCATCCTGGTGGACGACTGCTTCAGCAATCATCTCAGCGACCTGGGCCTTATTGTCAGCACTCGGGGCCTGGATCGACTCAAGGGTGGCCAAAGCGAGGCGAGCATCCTTGAGCCAAGTGTCCAGCTCTTTGAGTGCGTTGTCCATCTCCGTGGCCGTGGTCCCGGTAACACCGGCATGTGCTCCCCTGGCGGACAAGTCCTTCAGCTGCGTCTCGATTTTTTCCAGCTTGATCTTGCCAGATTGCAAAATGCCGAGCTGACCCTTGAACTCCACCAGCTCGGGGTTCACGACTGTGACGGTGGGGTTCCCTCCGGATCCCGAGGCCTCGTTGAGGAGCATGTTCTGCTTCTCTTTGTCATTGCAGTCGAAACCGGCATGCATGGCGTCCGTCTCCAAAGTCACGGAGTCTGTCTCGGCATGCTTCCTCTTGCCATAGTGATATCGCTTCTCTTTCTGTTTTTTCAATGCCCTCTCCCTCGCTGAGGACTCGTCCCAGTCGTAGTCGAAGGGGGTCTCGTTCAAAATCGCCAGCAGCAGCTTGTCGTCCACATCCATGTTTTCATGCTGAGCGATCTCGAATCCTGAACTTCATGTGTTCAAAAGGAGGCATGCAGACCAAGGTTACGATCGAGTGCATGCATGATCGACTCCTAGGATCCTATAGATATATATATGCATGTATATACATATACTATATATATCTAGTATCGATTTCTACATGCATGCCTGCATAGCAATGCAGAAAAGGTGCGGGTCATGAACCCGGCCAGGGTCCCCTCTGTGGTCTTCGTCTGTGTCTCGAAGGTCTTCGTCTTCTGTGCCCAAGCCTTTCCGGATTTATCCTGGTTCCAGCTGGCCAGCATCATCATTCTCTCGTGGTGCTGGTTCCGGCCGAGATTCCCGTACTCGTTGTAAAACTGAACCTTGGATTCCAAGGTCTCAAGCGCTTTTTGGTGATAAGGAGAGTTTGCCCTCCTTGTACTCCTTGAGTTTTTTCAAGTTCGCTTTCCCCTGGGTTGACAAATTGCTCTGCATCTTCTTGACCTCGGCTGGATCCACACCATCCAGCGGGGCCTGCTCTGCCGGCTCAGTTTTCACTGGCATCTGCGGAACGGCCTTCGCCTTCGCCTTAGCCTTGGCCTTGGCTGCTTTCGGAGCCGCCTTTGTTGCCGTAGCTTTCTTAGGCGGCATGAATGCAATCGCCAGGCATGGGAAGCAAGTTGCCAGCCACGAAAGGAACATTGTGGCAACAAGAAGAGAAAACGGGAGCCTTGAAATCGACTGGTGCGATCGATATATATCGCTCGAGCAAACTGCACCACGAAAGCAGGATGCAATATCGGTGGACAAAAGTTTGGGGTCGATCTTTAGGTGTGCATGGTTCGAATCTATATACAACAAGCCAAGAAAGACCAAAAGTTAAATTGAAGTTAAATTTAACTCCAATTTAACTTTAATTTAACTTGTTGGTTTTGATTGCGTACAATGTTTTAAGTTAAGTTAAATCCGAGTTAAATTGGAGTTAAATTTAACTCCAATTTAACTTTATATTTTTTCTAACAGCCTCCTATACTTTCGAGGAGGCTGGTAAAAACGAATATTAATGCACTCTACATATTCCATTAACAGTTTTTATAGCCCTTTAGGGGTTCAGGGGTATAGGGTTTAAGGTTTAGATTTCAGGTTTTGGGCCAGGCTGGGTCCAGGGTTTAAGGTTTTATGGGTATATACATATATAATACATATTTTGACATTATATATATATATATATATATAGAGATAGACATACATATGTCTTATGTATAGTTATACTATATATCTATATACATATATATACACATATACACTTACATATGCTTCTAGCATAGATGTGTGTATAATTAATTCATATATACAAACTCATAGTTGATTATGATTATACACATACATACATATATACATACATAGAGACATATACATAATTAACATATACATACCTTACATACAATCATGATAACCTAAAGTAATTCACCTAAATTATATAGTGTATACACATGTACATGTACATGTCATGTGTAATCTCTGTATGCACATATACCTAGCACATACACAATATATACACAGGCATTATATATACATATATATATAGACATACATCATATATGCTTATAGCATCCATGTGTCTATGCATGTATTTTTTATCTTTACAAACTCGATCAGAATCATACATATACATATACATATACGTATACATATATCACACATACATACATATGCATACATACATACATACATACACACATATCGATCTATATATATTTATATGTATATATATATATTACATACAATCATATCTTAAGCAATGTAAACACATATATTATAATGTCTACACATGCACATGTACATGACAATTTTAACATATATCTATAGTGTATATATATATATAGACAATATATATATATATATATAGATAGATAGATAGATAGATAGATAGATAGATAGATAGATATATTTGTACATCATGATGCAATCTACATATACATGCATACGTGCACATGTACACACACATATCTATATATATATATAGATATGTGTTAATATTGGCGGTCTCGATCCTAGGAAAGCTAGCAGCTAGCATCGAGGCCGGTCCACGACAAAGGAGAGCCACACGTGCAACCCTCCTCGATCGCGTGAGGAGCCCGGGTGGGCTCCTGAAGAACATGAACTGAAAAACAAAATTAATCGCCGTTACACAATTGGAGCCAGGTTGTAAAATAATATGTTGTGAGTCGTTGAACTCATATCACTCGATCTCTTGTGGAGGCTACCGAAAACCTCCAGAAGTACCTAGACAAAGCACATGCAGGAAACAAGTCCTCGATCCTCGCGACAAAATGTGAGCTGTCAGCTCGAGGCACATGCACTGCAAGCCTTGAGGATCGTGATCTCCACGTCGATATCCTGAACAAAAGCACATCCAGAGCACTTCAAGTTTGCACGTGGTTTGGACCCAGGCCTTGCAGAAGTACTTGACATCGATCCTGAAGCCCAGCCTGCAAGCAGAACGAGGGTTTAGGGGTTGAAGGTTTAATTAGTACAGGCCTGCATTCGGGAGAACCACGATCGACTCGATCTTGATGGCCAGCCTGCAAGCACAAGCAGGGTTTAGGGGTTGAATGTTTAAGGGGTACAGGCCTGCATGCATTCGCGAGAACGACGATCGACTCGATCTTGATGGCCAGCCTGCAAGCAGAACGAGGGTTTAGGGGTTGAAGGTTTAAGGGGTACAGGCCTGCATTCGCGAGAACGATCGATCGACTCGATCGCGATGGAGCCCACGGTACGATCGAGGTCCTGCATGCAAGGAGTTTCACACCGAGATCATGCAATGCAGACACTATATAGATCGAATGGCATGCCTTGCATGCACAATCGATCCATCTTTTTTTCATACTGCCCGGCCCGTGGATCTTCTCGATCTAGGACACAACGATCGGCTGCACGTCTGCACTGCCGGACGGGCCTGCACGATCACCGCCATCCTCATCATCGTCATCTCCAGGAGGCGGCTTCCACAGGCAGATCGCCGTGCACAAAACCGGGTCCTCCTCGTCCTCCTCCTCCTCTTCGTCGGGTTCCTCGCCACGATTGCGATAGCCCCATGCGTTCCAGGAGGATTTGGTTCGCTTGCAATGTTCTGCCCACCATGCCTTCCTCTTTAATCCCCTGTTCTTCTTAGGCTTCTTTGGGTGCAGGCGATAGTACTCCATGTACTCGGCCGCTTTCTTGGGATTTGAAGGCGGCTGGCCGGCCCAGTTCTTGGCCACGTTCAGGTCCGGCACACCCATGAAGGACAACTGCCAGGGTTTAGGGTTGGAGGTTTAGGGGTTCATAAGGGTTCGGGTTTAGGGTTTTGGGGTTATATAAAACAATGTTAAACTCATCCAAGTGGCCCGGCATCGGACATTGAGACAAATCCGTTCGCGAAAGTAGGCGAGCTCCCCACAAACAGTGCATCTGCGAACGTATGACCCGTATGGAGTCGGCTCTTCTGTGGTTGGTGCCGGCGGTGCCATCGGTGGCGGCAATGGCGGTGGCGTCGGTGGGAACTCCGGCGTCGGGAGATCGCCGAGCTCCTGGTCACCTTCCTCACGAGGACCATCCGGATTGGCGGCCTCCAAGAGATCGCGGCCCACCGACTGGTGAGCACCCATGATCAAGCGATTGCGATCTTGCAGGATGCTTTTCGTCCCTTAAGCAAGAAGGCTGCGAAAACATGGGTGAGGAGCTGCAGCCTGCGTGATAGCATGCATGCAGCTACCTTGACCGCGATCCATTACTCTCGAATGGTCCTTGCAGAAGGAGAGCACGATGGCCCTCGCTGTTAACGTCGTCAAGGAGAGTATGTACCCTCCTGCGATGCAGAATTTAAAGTGCATCTTATTATATAGAAGGTTATTATTTGTGTATAAATATATATATATATATATATATATTTGTATGATATTGCCAAAAGAAGCAGTGCCTACAGCACCTCGAAGATGGAGAGCCTGCCCTCGAGGTCGAGGATCTGCCATGGTTGATCCTGCAGGTATACACACGTGAATAGGGTCAAGGTTATTGTCGACTGCAGAATTTAATGCCGGAGTCCTTGTACAAGATCCTGCCATGGCGACGATCGATTATGGACCGATCGGCAACAAAAAGCTCTACGAAACATGTCATGCCTAGCGAGCATGAAAAATCGAGCAGGGCA